TCCTCAAGCCGGGTGTGTGGCAGGGTGCCGTACGATGACAGTGAGGTGGTTTCCCTGAGTTCCCTGACGGGTCCTTGCGTTCAGGTCTTTGTAGTGCAGGCAGCAGGAAGCGGGCTGAAGGCACAACAGCCTCCGCTCGCCAGAGCACCACATTGAGGCCCAGAACCGTCACCCCGCCGCCCCATGGCTGGTCAGAGCAGAGCTGGACTCAGCCTGGTCTCCAGCCGCGTTTCGCTGTGGCCGCCCAGCACCGCCGTCCAACTGCAAAGTCCGCGGCTCTCCCGGAGAGACAGGCACGAGACACAGTCTGCATTCTCCCCTCACTCTCGCCCTCTCTCACGGTTTTTCTCTCCTCTGTGTTTTTCTGAAGGCCTTCGAGGCTGGCCCGAGCTGGTGGGAGAAGAGGTTTTTCCCAGGAACGGATCGATGCTCTGTGTGCGGGCAGCCGCGCTGACAGGCCTGACCTTTACTGGGTTCGCTCTGGTTCTACGTTCCCTGCCGGGAGCCTGGAAGGCCTCGCTGCGGAGACAGGGAGGTTGGGGAGCCTTGGCCTCCAAGGGGCCGGGCTCAGGCTGGGTGCAGTGCAGACAGAACAGGGGAGAATCTTAGCGCTGAAAGCACTTTGAGGTCAATTATTTAAATCTCTCCCATATACACCACTTTTACAAATGGGGAAACTGAGGCTCGGTGAGAAGGGACTTGATCAAGGTCACTCAGAGAGCTTTCACAGATCCCCAGAGTCCAGGGTGTGTGTGTGTGTGTGTGTGTGTGTGTGTGTGTGTGTGTGTGTGTGGTGTACGCATATCCATATACAGGGCGGGGCAAAAGTAGGTTTACAGTTGTATGTGAAACAGTTGATTCTTGTATCATTATTTATTAATTCTGGTGTTATTCTCCATCTGAACAACTGTAAACCTACTTTTTCCCCGCCCTGTATACATGAGTATATAAGTATACACATGTGTGATACCAATTATTATATATACACATAATGTAGTAGCATATATACACTATTATATATAATATGTATACAACATTTGTATTTGAAAGGCTGGCTCTGCCGGCGTGGGCATGATGGTCCCCGCAGCCATAGATGGCAGCGCACTGGATACCCACAGACCCCGAGCCATGGCACATCACGCAGTTCTACAAAGCCACGGGAGGAGCTGGAGAGATCTCATGGCCCTTTTCAAATCTTTTCTGCCTCCTCCTTCTCCTTCTTTGCAAACAGTTTCTCTCAAAGCCCAGTTTCCACCCTTCAGAAAGAGGACTTGGCTGTGAAGTCACTTTGAAAGACTTTCCGTATGTTAATTACAGCCGGGCAAGGTCTCGAGCAGAGGTGGGCGCCCACCATCTGCAGATGGGGTCGGCCCCCGGCGTGCTCTGCAAATCCCCATCATCTGGCAGGTGTCGTTTTGGGTTAATTAAGAGCTACACTGTGCCAGTTTACCTGTCGCTTCGGAGGGTTTTAGGAATCTTCGGCTTTCTTGCCATCTCTGAGCCCTTAGTGAAGGGGAAACCGGGAACATCTCTGACTCTGATGATGTTCCTGCCCCGTGTCCTCCAGGACCGCTACCTCAAGTGCCTCCTTCGTGGCCCCTATCAGCTTTCATTGTAATCAGTCCTTTCTAGTTACCTCGTCGAGTTTTTTATGTGTTTTTATTGATTTTTGAGAAAGAGGAAGGGAGAGAGAGAGAGAGAGAGAGAGAGAGAGAGAGAGAGAGATCATTGCATCCGTCTCCCCCCCGCCCCCAAAACCTGGGCATGTGCCTGGACTGGGAATTGAAATAGTGACCTTTTGGTGCAGGGTCGATGCTCAAACAACTGAGCCACACCGGCCGGGGCATGGCTTTTACAACCAGCTCGTCTCTGTTTGGAGCCATTTTCTGCGTCTCCTGCAGGGTAGGCAGCTGTGGGCAGGAGTGGGGGATAGAGCACACCTGTGGGTGTGATCCTGGCCATGAGCCTGAGAGGGGACCAACCCTCTGTTCTTGGTCCTGTGGAGGCAGCTGAAGACGGGGGTCAGTCCCAAGTGTCCTGGGGTTCCATCCGGTACCATCTGCCTAGTCCCACCTCCTGCTTTTACTCATGCAGTGCCCCTCCGACCCACCCCCCTTACCTTCACTCTGTGCCCCTCCGACCCACCCCCCCTTACCCTCACTCCATGCCCCTCCAACCCACCACCCCTTACCCTCACTCCGTGCCACCCCCCCTTCCACTCACTCCGTGCCCCTCCGACCCACCCCCCCTTACCCTCACTCCATGCCCCTCCAACCCACCACCCCTTACCCTCACTCCGTGCCACCCCCCCTTCCACTCACTCCGTGCCCCTCTGACCCACCCCCCTTACCTTCACTCTGTGCCCCTCCGACCCACCCCCCCTTACCCTCACTCCGTGCCACCCCCCGACCCACCCCCCCTTCCACTCACTCTGTGCCCCTCCGACCCACCACCCCTATACTCAGGGCAAAGGTACCAACAACGTGGGCTGGCTCTCCTGGCACCTGGACAACAAGATGTGCTTGACTCAAACCTTCACTCCCGCCTCGGGAGAGAGTCCCATGTCCCGCCAGGGTTTCTAGGATGCTTCCAGGGGAACTGGCTCACTGGCTGCTCACCTCTACCTCATGGTGCCTGACGCCACGGAATCCCTGGGCTCTGGTCTGTGCTGCTCTTGGACATTCTTTCATCTCAGCCCCACTGACCACCCAACGTGGCGCTTGGCCTCTCCCCTCGACTTTCATGTGCGGAAAACGCCAACCCGGCTGTGCAAGGCACGCGGTGGACAGCAGGTTTTACTGGATGTCAGGGCGGCGGGAGGAGGAGGGTTTAGTCCTCAGTACAGGTGACTCGGTGGGAAGAGGTGAAGGGCCCAGGGTGTTCTCTGAGCGGGGCAGTCATCAGAGAAGGTGTTTATGGTGTGATCGTTGTCTTGGGTCAGCTGCACCTCTAGGGGCCCCTGTCTCCAGCTCCTAGAGGGTAAAGGGGTGGTGGGTCGGTGGGCCTGGCAGACGGGCGTGATGCTGTCAGATGAAGATGGAGGGCTGGCCTGTGCCGTGTGGTCAGTGCCCTGGGCCCAGGTGAGGCGCTGTCAGGAAGTGCCTCTGATTAGGCAGCTTCATGGGCGCCCGGAGCCTGGAGGAGCGAGCAGTGGTCCCCCTTCTCCAGGCTGCTCGGTCTCTCTGCTCCCCCTCCAGGCCCCCGAGGAGGAGGAGGAGGAGGAGGGGGAGGCGCTGTGGCGCTGATGGATATGCCGAGGCTAGGCGGCTGCGGCCTGGCACTGTCACCAGGCTCTCCCTCAGTACGCCGGAACCTGACACCCTGACCACTGAGGCATAAAAAACAGAGAATTGGAAGGCTCAGCCTGTCAGGCTGGGAGTGGCCCCCAGAGAGGTCTGGGAGACGTGCACGTGGTATGTGCGTGTGGTGTGTGTGTGTGTGTGTGTGTGTGTGTGCGCGCATGCCTGTGGTTGCCTGTGGAAGCGGGGAGGTGGAGAGGAAGCCAGCTGGGCTCGGGTGGGAGCAGCGGGCCCCTCAGGCCTGCTTTATTGTTCTGGCCGCACCTGACCAAGTCCCGCGGGCCCTGCATTTGGGCCTCGGCTGCCAGGGGCAGAGCAGTGCTCCCGCTCTGACATCTGTCTGGTTCCTGCTGAGGGCTCCTGCCCTTTGGCTCATTGGCACCCTTAAGAAGAATCCGTGGGAGCTTGTTTGGGCTGAGGGTGGTCCCGTGGGCGGTGTAACTCCTGTCACCACTACCAGGGAAGGGCCCACGTGCTCTGTAACCAGCGGCATAAAAGGCCACTCAGCAGCCAGCTTCCGACACTACGTGGGCCAGGCACTGGGGAACTCTGCAATGAGTAAGGCCCAAACCCAGCCCCCCCCCCCCCGCCCCTCCTGCCCCCGGAGCTCCCAGAAGCAGGGCAGACAGGCAGCAAGGCTGTAAGGGGAGGAGTTCTGAACTCCCCTCCTCGTGACGCCTGGCGGTAAGGAGGCTCTCCTGGTCACTCTCACAAGGTCACTGCTCTCACAAGGTCTCCTCTCACAAGGTCACTGCTCCGTGGGCAGCTGGGCGAGAGGAGCATCCTCAAGGCCCACCTGCCTCCTCACACTCCCCATGGTGTCCACCTGCCTGAGCATGCCCAGAGCAAACAGCTGCCCCGACCCTGTGCCCAGAGGCCCACCCACTGCCTCTTCTGCGCTCCCCTAGGCTCTGGCTTGTCTCTCCGTCTCAGCAAAGTGACCTCTGCCTCCTCCTGGCGGAGGGCTCGACTTCACGTCTCGTCTTCCCCGTTGGCTGAGGCCGGGGTGCAGCCACCTCTGGATTCTCAGCGCGCAAGGCCAGACGAGAGTGGAGGTTACCTTTGCCTTCGCAGTGCAGAGCCACGCAGGAAACACGTGGGAAGTGGAACTAAATCCACATGGGGGTCCTGGAGTGGCTGAGAACCAGGCTTAGGACTTGGTGGGTGTGCTGAGGCCGTTTTGTGAGAGAACCTCGGCATCAGTCTCCTCCCCTGCAAAGTGGGCCAGGCACCTCAGGGAACACCTGGCACGGGCAGTTTCACGGCACACATGTGAGCGGCTGACATTCCCTTCCACTAACACAGTGGTTCTCAGCCTGTGGGTCGCGACCCCTTTGGCGGTCGAACGACCCTTTCACAGGGGTCGCCTGAGACCATCCTGCATATCAGAAATTTACATTATGATTCATAACAGTAGCAACATTACAGTTATGAAGTAGCAACGGAAATAATTTTATGGTTGGGTCACAACATGAGGAACTGTATTTAAAGGGCCAGAAGGTTGAGAACCACTGCACTAATAGAAAAGGGGAAATCTAGATGATGCCAATGACCGCTGTCCACTTAAGAAGGGTGTGCACTGGACTTGACTTGGTTGGTTATGAAAGTACCTGCAACGTATGTCAGAGGCAGATGCCGTTGGCATTTTACGAGCTTGCTTTGACGTTTGCTTCCTGTTTCTCTCCCACCCATCTCATGCAGGGAGTGAGTTTTCCGGGAGCCCCTACAGCCACCCTCAGTACCCCTCCTACAACGACTCCTGGAGGTTCCCCAACCCGGGGCTGCTCGGTGAGTACGGCGGAGGTCACACAGCAAGCAGATGGCAGGATGCGGACCCAAGCTCAGTCACCCTGACTCAGTCATACCCCGTGTGTGACATGGTCCTCTCCCTGACCCATTCAGTCTGAACAGGACCACAGCCAGGGCGAGAGGCCTCATTGCCCCACAGGGAGGAGCCTGGAGAATCCTAAACACTCAGACCCTGTCTGTGATGAGAACAGCTCTGGCCTATTTTTTGAAAACCAGCTTATTGTATTTACCCGTCAGGCTTTCGGTTGCAAACAACAGAAGCCACTTTGGCTGGTTTAAGCAGAAAACAAACCTGCTAAGGGATTTGGGGGGCTCCCGGAACCCTTGGGAGGACCCATGACACAGGCGTGGGACGCACAGCCAGGGACCACACCTACCCACACCACCAGGGCTGCTCTAGCGTCCGCACTCCTGCTGCTGCCAGTTGGCACCCCAAGCTGCCCGCTCTGCGCTGCTGCTCAGCCAGGGTGCCTGAGAGCTCTGTCCTGCCAACTGCCGGGAGCCCGGAGCCCCGAGCCCGGAGCCTCTGCCACCCACTCCCAGCTTGGAGTCTCTCAGCCCGTTTCCTCCAGTTGCTCCTGCCCAATCCAGGTCACAGGCGAGAGAGCCTGTCTGACAGGTGACACACCTGTGTGCTAGCAGCAAGGGAGGCTGGGAGGGTGAGTTCTGACTTCCAACCCAAAGAGGCGGGCCTCATGCTACGGGCAAAACAGAAACAGTTTAAACCGTGCTGGGCAGTTACAAACATGAGAAATGGTCCCTGTGCTGCCCAAGTCTATAACCTGGAGCATCATGGCCAGGTCACCAAGCCATCGGGGCCTCGGTGTGAAATGAGGATAGTCACACCAGCAGCTTTATTCAAAAATGAGCTAAAAACCCTGCTTTCTGGGGGCTCACTGTCCTGAAGATGAGCGGGCTGCCAGGCTCACTCTACCATAGTCTGGCACAGAAGTCCCAGGCCCGTCACACCCGCCAGCCTGGCTTTCCCAGGGGTGTCTCCAGGCTCTGTCTGGAAGAGTCCCACAGAGCAGGGGAAGTAGCCCGATGTCTGCAGTCTGGGGAGGGTGCAGGGTGTGGGACCCTGCTCTGAGGCTCCGGCCAGATCGGTAGAAGCGGAGGAAACAGGTGAGACCCTCCACGTACACACTCCCGGTGCTCACGCCCTCACGCCCCTGCCACCCTCGGCTGGCCGGGTTGAAGCCTCCTCCACAGCAACACCCTCAGAGTAAGGATGAGCAGTGCCACCCAATGAAGCTGCACTTCTCAGGAGAACTCCCCTCCCCCCGGGCCTCCTCCCCAGGAGCTGCCCGCCCAGCATCATGGGACCCCTAGCGAGCTCGGACTAGGACTAGGCGGGGGAAGGGGGAAGTGAAGGGGGGGGCGGGGGGGGGGGGGGGGCGGGGGCGGGGGCAGACAGGGCAGGAGGTGGGAAGCAAGGCAGCAGTGGTCGATTAGGATTAGAATGGGAGTGCCTGTGGCCGCTTTAAAGGGATTAGAGCGTGCATGGGAGGGAGCCGGGAATGACTGTGTCAAGAAGTAAATTGATGATAATGTGAATTAGAGAGGAAAAATGACAAGAGAAAGGACAAGTTTATTTTAGATGACGGTCTAATGGGCACCAGGAAGACAAGAGTGCTTTGTGAGGTGATGTTTTCATCTTTCACGATAAAGGCAAGCGATTTTGATCTTGCCGTGGCACCCTCAAGCTAAGGCCACTGGACAGCGCAGCCAAGAGGTTAGGCTTTGAGAGGGGTGTGAGTCAGAGCCGAGGGCGAGAGGTGGCAGGTGGGTGGGGGGCTCAGAGGGCTGAGCCAGGGTCCTCTGCGCAGGCTTACTTCCATTTCTTGTCCTCCGAGGCCCGTTCGTGGGGGCAGCCCCTGCGGTTTTCCTGCTCCTGGGCCGTGCCCAGGCCTGCAGGGACAGCACGCATGTCCTAACAGCCCCCAGCCCACAGAGGAGAGAAGATGAGAGAGCAGGGGAGGCTGACAGCTGTCTCTGAGTGAGGGCTCTGACCAGGGAGGTGACGGAGGAAGCAGCATTCTCCATCTCCGGGAATACGCGGGCACAGGGCTGGCGGCCTTGCCTTCGTCGGGAACAGCTCAGCAAGGCGCTGCCGCTCCACCCCTGTCACTGCTACCTTCCTGGGGCCCAGTGAGGGGGTAGGGTATCTGCTCATCCGGGCGGGGCTTGGAGGTGCAGTGGCACGAGCTAAAGTGCCACGAGCTGTGTGGCCTTGGGCACGCTGCTTGCTCTCTCTGCCCCTCAGTTTCCTCCTCTGCTGCTTGGGACACTACCAGTTCCTACCTGATAGACTTGTTGTGGAAAGTAAAGAGTTCATGCATATAAAGGGCTTAGAAAAGCACTGTTATATCCTTATGTCATGGTGCCCTCAGGCGGCACTATTATGAACCCATTTTACAGATGAGGCAACTGAGGCTCAGAGGAGTGAAGCCACTTGTTCAAGGTCACTCAGCCAAGAGTGGCAGAGCCTGGCTGGCAATCCCCAGGCATTGGTGCTGTCATGCTGTCGGGGAGAATTGCCAGGATTGGTTTGGGTTTGTGTGAGATTTCAGAATCCATACCTGTCACCTCCCCTGGGGAATGAAGACACGTGGTCCAGGACGGCTCACAGGGCCCCCGCTGCCGTCCACCTGGACAAACACATCCTCCAGCGCAGGGGGAGCAGGCCGTGAACTGCGTTGTGGGGCAGCAGTCCCGAGCCAGGGGCAGACACCTGAGTTCCAGGCCAGGCTCTGTTACTGAGAGGCTCTGTGGCTTTGGGCACATGAATTTGGTTTGTTGAGCCTCAGTTTCCCTACCTATAGAAGGAGGATGGCCTAGCATCTCTAACCTCAGTGGTCCTAAGACTCCTGCTGGTCTCCCAGAGCCCCTGGCGCTCTTTCATCCCTGGGAAGGAGTTTGAACAACAAAACGGGGCTCCTGGAGGCCGCAACCAAAGCATGTAGTCAAATAAAGCTGCCCAGAGAGGTGGGAGGAGCCCTGTCTGCGGGTCCCAGGAGGCAGGCTGCTACCCGCTCTGCTCCACGTACTCACACATCCAGTCTCCCCACGTCCAAGTCTTCTCGTCCTGTCCCCCAAGCCCAGCCTGACCCGCTTCCTCCAGGAAGCCCGGCCTTGCCAGAATAACCGTGCGTTCCCCAGAGCTCTTTGCTCAGAGCTCCGAGCCCCTTCCTTCCTGTGAGCATTTGCCTTAGGTATGGGGCTGTAGGCACAACGTCGCCCTCCAACCCCCATGCTGTCTTCTCTCTCTTCCAGGCTCCCCCTACTATTACAGCGCCGCTGCCCGAGGAGCTGCCCCACCTGCAGCCGCCACTGCCTACGACCGTCACTGACCCTCGGAGCCAGGCAGATGCCAGCACTTATGACACATATCACTGAGGGCAAGAGCCTCCCAGCCCCTTCCAAGACAGCCGGAGGGGCCCGACGAGAGCATCCCCCAGCACCCTCCCCCCTCACTTGGAACTCTGCCCCCCTTTTCCTGTCAGGGACTCTGGGGTTCTATGGCACGGCCACTGGACTTCTGGACACCTGTCCATTTCTAAGAGTCAATCGATGAGCTTCTCCCAGCAGTGACGGGGTCTCCACAAACCAACAGACTGTGCCGCCGGTCACTGCAGCCCCAGCCCCGCCTGCCAGTCCCCCGGCTGTCTGACCATCTGCCCGTCTTCAGGCCCAGGCCTGGGAAGAAGAGCTTGCTTTGGTCATTTCAACAGCACCTGTGTAAATACCTTCTTGCTTCTCTCATGGGCCTAAAGGTCCAACGGAGCAGACTGCCAGCCTTTATGCATTCAGCACTCCCAGCGCATCACAGACCTGAGGGCAGAGCATCCCCTCTGCCCCGGTGCCACCCCCCCCACCCCCCTGCAGTGGGGAGCAGTCCATGGGACTGAGGATGCCCGACTCGGGCCCCAGCCTCCTGCTCGTTGCTACTTCTTTAGCGTCTTGACTAGGTGTCTCACTAACCTGGTTATGCTCCAAGCCCACCCCCCCCCCAACCCCGCTGAGACTTTTCCCCAAGAGAAACACTTTGGGGAGATACCCTGGCTTCCTGCCTCCACTTCCCTGGGCCCAATGCAGTGCAAACAGCTCTTTTCCGTATATCAAATGACTCAAAGAACCGCCAACCACTGTTCTAAAGTAAGATGTCCCAGGTGCTGATTGCATTGTGGACTTGGAACATTACGGCTGGATGGGACCCAGGAGGTCATGGTCCAAGGTGGGGCCTGACGTCCTCCTGACCCGCCAGCCCCTGGAACCGCTGACCTGAACTGGGCTGTGTTTTCGGAGGCATTCCCAGGCTCGATCACTTCGGACACCCACCACGGACACTGCCCTCACCCTCCAGGACCCCCGTGAGTGGATTCTGTTCTGCCATGTAGACAGTGGTTAACAAAAAGGACTTTGCCTGCACTGAAGACCACACGCACCTGCAGCATCTCCAGGACTTCCTGAGCAGCTCTCTGATCCTGGTGGAGCCTCGCATGCCGCTGGGAATGGAGGTGCCAGGTGGGGCAGATGCCCAACTTCAAATAGTGGGTATCTGCCTGTTGACATGAGGGGCCATCATGGTCAGGGCCATGGCCAAGGGCTACAGGAGCTTGGAGAGGGCCTTGTAGAACTCACTGTGGGCTGGAGTGGTGAGTAAAAGCCAGTTGGGAGGGTTTGGGGAGACAGAGGAAGGCCTCCTGAGAGAGGGACAGGACAGGCAGTGAGGAACTGGTGGGTGAACTGGAAATGGTTTTGAGGTGGGGTTGCCAGGAACCACCATATCTTTGCCTAGGACCTCAATTCCTTGCATAGTCTCTCTTGCCAACTCTGAACATCCAGGTGGAAGTTCTGTCCAAATCTGGGCTGAAATATAGCAATGACAGTGGCCTTTTCCATTACATGCAACAGGGTCCCCGATGTCTGCATGACACCAGGTTGGCAGAGAGCTGGGGCAGAGAGCCCTCACTTGAGGTAATTGGCCCTGGGAGGCCTTGTCCTGGCCGTACCTCTGCCTAGCTGTGGGACCTCTGACAAGACCCTTCACCTCTCTGAGCCTCGGTTGCCTTGGGACTGCAGGGTCATCTGACAGCTCTCTCCTAACTTCTTCTCTCACAGGGAGTTGGGACAGGCCCTCCGCTGCTGAGAAAGCAGACAGAGGTGGGCACCTGAGTCCCACTAATATTCAGACCACGTGGGAAATAAGAACACCCAGAGGGGTGGAAATCAGTCTTGAGGAAGACCTAGTCCAACTCCCCTCAAGGGAAACTGAGGCCCAACTGGGGGAAGCCCGGGACATGCAGGGAGAGAGAGCAGACCTCCTTGGGCCACTACCAGGCGTTTTGGCCCCCAATATCCCTGCAAAGTGGTGGGACAGATAAGAAACTGAAGCTCAGCAAAGTGCAGTCCCCAGGCAGTGACTTGGCCCCTGAACCCTGGCACATGGTGATCCCCCCTTCCCTGGGGAGGGAAGTTGATGGTGAGGGCAGTAGATGGCTCTCAGCCCACTGCCCCACACAGAGTGTCCCAGGGCTGTTAGAAGAGCTGAGGAAGCTAGTCTCCCAGGATGGAGGTGGAGCCCATGAGCTCACTGCAGGCACACCCTCTCCCCTGGAATCTGCTGGTTGAAACAGTTGCAGCCTCCACCTGCCAGGCAAGGTAGAAGAAAGTCTATCAGGAAGTGGTGGGGCCAGGAGTCTGCTGCACAGACCTCTTGGACTCTTGCACCTTTAGATCCTGGTCTCTCCTGTGGTCTCAGGCTGTTGGTAGGAGGTCAGCCTTCCCAGAACTGGCTGCCTAAGGCACAGCCGTCCTTCCTCCGCAAAGCCCCCCTGGCCCCACCCGCACCCCTCTTCCCGTCCTGCTCTTCTCAGCCCTATGGTGCGCTCCCTCCACGCCTTTCCCCTCTCCCCGGGGCTCTGCTGGTCCTCAGATGCATTGTACTTACTAGACAGCCCCTTGATGATGGGGCTGCCGGGCAGAAGCACAAGAGCACACGATGCACACATGTTCTTACACTCATCGCTGCTCTCCCCGCTGAGTTCCCCCGGCTCTGCGGAGCTGCCCGGGGGCTGGGGGAGGAGGGTTCCAAAGGACACAGTCACTGACGCCAGAGAATTCTGAATGGAAAACACAAGGCCAGAGCTTTCACCAGAGCTTGGTGGCAAGAGGCCTGCGCGCTCCTCTGTGGGCCTTCAGCTCCACGGTCTAGCTCTGGCGTTCTGAAAAGGACATGGTAGATTTTATGAACTTTTTTTTTCTTTACCTTAGCCTAACTTCACCCTAGAAAAATTTGATGACATATCAAACCCAACATCCCTTTCCCAAGGCGCCTTAGTTAGGGTTGGCCGTTTCATAACCGATGTTCCCATGGTGCTTTGCTGTCTTTGACCATCCACTGGGACAATCACCGTGCTCATTTTACAGATGGGAAGTTTGAGATTTGGGGCTCGCAGGGCAAGAGAGAGGTGAAGTGAATTCTTAGATATCCCTGGGCCTCATTCTCTCTCAATAGAATGGTGCTCCTGTCGTGCGAGAGTGTGGCTTAGAGACACCCTTCAACCCCCCGATGAGGGAGGTGGTCCATGGTGTGATGGTCCAACTAGATTCCCATTAACACCGAAACCAACCCAAAAGTCTGCCCAGATTCACACCAACACTCTGACTCATCCAGACTCCTTTCCAGCTGTACCCTGAGGCTCCCAGGGGGTGGATTAGAGCTTGTCCAAGGCCACGCCCCGAGGCCTGACAGGGCCTGGACATGGGCCGAGCTCTGACTCCCAGGGTCTAGGGCTCCAGTATCATGAGATGTCCCTTCACTCTTCTTTATTCTTTCTCCTGGGGATCAGACTCCAGGCCTGGCTGTGACAATATTCAGGAGTCACCAAGCAGAGTCATTGGGGCCCTCCGGTGCCCACAGGCCTGGGAAACACAGATCACAATCTTAAGGGCCCTGAACTAATTGCTTCCAGGCCAGGCAGGCGGGGTAACCTTGCAACTCCGGAAGGGCACGAGGCAGCATGGATGGTGGGACGTGGGACCAAAAAAACAATAGGCCTATGAGCCCCCGGCCACCAGCTTGTGACCCCTGCCCAATCTTGGTCCAATGCTCCCTTTCTTCTCCACCTCCTTCCCCTTCATTGTAAATTTGGGGGAGATGGGAGCCCAGAATGATGAACTTCACATTGCCTAGCCCCTGGTCCCTGCCCCCCTTCCTCCCCATCCCGGGCTCTTGCAGACAGTTTGGCTTTGACAGTAGTGAACTTGAACGTCGGAGGTGGTGCGGTGGGGGCACTGTTGGCTTTGAGGGTAGATCAGTGCTGCTGGGCCTTTCACATGTGCAGGGAAAAGCCCCAGATGTGACCACAGGGCACCGAGGGGTGAAATCCCTTTATGAGAAGCCACATCCCAGAGCAGCTGCCCTGCCTTTGGCAGCCCCTGGCAGCAGCCACCCCTTCTGGATGACATTTCAGCTAGAATGTAGCTCCTAGCCATGGGGAGCAAATCTTAAAAACAAACTAAGCACTCCTGACAAATACAGTGGAACCTCAGTTCTTGAACTTAATTCATTGCAGAAGGCTGTTTGAGAAGCGATTTGTTCAAAAACCGAATCATTTTTCCCCATTAGAAGTAATGTAAATTGAATTAATCCGTTCCAGACCCCCAAATGACTCTGTTTTAACCTGTTTGTTTACGTTTTAAATGATGTTTCAGAGGTGTTTTCAAGGTGTGCTAAGTGTTGATTTCGCCATGCCATACTCAGTAGCCAGATCAGACATGCAAACACCTCTATCTTACTTTACAGTTATTTCTTTTTTAAAGCTCTATCGTTGTTTTCACAACATTCCTTTTCACTTTGCTGCCATCACTACCTTCTTAGAACCCATGGTGACTTGCTGTACATATTTAATAACAATAAGCAGCAACAAAAGCAAAAAAAAACCCAAAAAATATTCACAGCACAATTTCCTGAGATGTTAACAACACGAGGCTTAGTGGTAAACTGACTCATACTCGTGAATTCTCTCCTTTGTTTGTTTGTTGCCTGAGAGACATGTGACTGATCATACAGGTATCAGCATGAAAGGGTTGCAGGGTTGAGAACTGAAGTTTTGTTCAACAACCGAGACATTTTTTTCCTTGAACAACTTGGTCGAGAAACGAGTTGTTTAAGATGGGAGAGATTTGAGAACAGAGGTCTGACTGTACCTGGAAACAAGATATGTCTGAGACACAGCTGCCCCGAGGGTAGAATCCAGGCCCCTGAACAGGCCAGGCCCAGGCTGGAGTGGGTAGGTCCCACCACACTCTGAGCTGGACCTGCTCCTGGGGGCCTGCTAAGGGGCTGGCTCTGCAGTCTTGGGCTTGTCACCCACCCTGGCCTGACGGAGCCTGCCTCTGATGGTTTCCAGGCCTGCACACTAGTGCTCCTGGAGAAGTTATTCCCTTAGTTCTTTTGGCCTCAGAGATGTCCAAGGCCAATGCTTCTCTTGAAAGGTAACAAAATACATGACTGGGAAGCTGGTCAGTCAGGCCATGACTCCTGGGTGGCAGTCTGTCCACCTCCCGGCAGCCCCTTCAGCCCCTTGTCCCCTATGTCCCTTATGTCCCCGTACCTCAGCATTCCCTCTTGCATATTCATGGTGGAGCCACAGTGTTGATCTGCACTTCCCCGCTGTCAGCTCAGGTCTCCAGAGTGATGCCCAGGTGCCAGGGGGCGCGGCAGGGGATTGGAAGCAGGGCCCTTGCCCTCCTGCTCCCCTGACGAGGGAGCTAAGCTTCTCTGACTTGGCTGCTTGCTGGGAGCAGGCAG